TATTTCCTTTACAATCCGCCTTATCAAAATGGAAGATTACATTTCCAAGCTGAGAAAATTTGCAAATCTGGACTTTCAATCAAAACAAGAGGTAATAACTAAAGGAAGACCAACGCTGGAGCTGAAAGGTTTGCTTCAGACCACGGGAGCCTCACCAGCTGTCAACCTCACCGCACATCACTGATGTCATCAGTATATAATTACTCATGCTAATAATATTAGTAGCAGCAGTAGTAAGTGCAGTACAAATGACAGTAGCTGTTCGTTAATGGTGTTTTACTAAAAGATACAAGCGCTCAAGAGTGTTGTAACATGCTGGTCTTTTTATTTTTCAGGTGTGTGACTTGTCTTTACAGGGTTGTGACTGGATGCAGGTTCACCCCGCTGTCCAGATGTTACACTGGCTCTCTGCCCATTGTCCAGATGTTACACTGGCTCTCTGCCCACTGTCCAGATGTTACACTGGCTCTCTGCCCACTGTCCAGATGTTACACTGGCTCGCTACTTTAAACAACAACACCACCATGCGCAGTCAGACCACAGACCGTATATAAAAATGGATGATGTGTCACCACTTCCTGCCGCTGTGCAGAAGTGAAGCCAGTAAATCGCCATTACAGGGGCAGCCATCTTGCTTTTGTGATGCATTCTGCAACCATTCTGCGCAGTAGTGACCAGAGGTGGAGCTAAGGTGTCAACCTGCTAATCAAAGCTGTCAGTCAGTTGGAATACACCCTTTTTATATCATCAAATAACTTATTAAAACAAACTTACCAGAACAAAGCCCACTTGTGCACAATCCCTTTGATAATATCTACCCAAAACCACAGAAATCAACTCTGGGAAAATATTATTAGATTTGTACCTTGAGTTTTTAGTTTGGCTTGTGTTCATACATGGAGGAGGCAGGGTTTATGACATATACTGCTACCAGCCACCAGGGGGTGACTCGCAGTGGCTTCACTTCTGGGAGCCTCAGGTTGTCTATATTTTTAAATACAGTCTATAGGTCAGCTGTGAGCACGCTCTAACATACAGTACATGCCACATGTGCATGTTCACTTTCATTACATAGAATAAAACTTTAAACACATCGTTGATGACAGAGAAATATGCCTGGAAGGTCAAGATAATATAAAACTAAAGATGCTAAGAACAGCGGCTGTTTTCTTGAGTTGAGCTAGGTAAGGTGTGGCAGCCATCTTGTTTTATGGCCATCTTGAGTTACATGCCGGCGGCCCTCAGGTAGACAACAAGTTTGTTCATCTTTTCGGAAAGTTGCCCCCCATTGGCATCTTTTGTGCCCATGATGATGGCTATAACTGGGGAGACAGGAAAACCCAAGTTAAATTAATGAACAGTGAATTTATGAACAGTGTCTAAAGCCATGCTAGCAGCAGCTCTGTGAGCCAAACGCTAACACACTGATGTTTAGCAGGAGTAATGTTTACCCTGTTCACGTCTCGGTTTAATGTGTTAGCACACACACAAAACACACAAACTGGCCATATTCAAAGTAAAACAAACTACAATAGTTTTATATATTTTCCAGCTCTGACAGAAAGTCCCTGCAGCATCACAAGCTGCTACTTCATTTCCAAAAATTATAGTCATAGAACAGATCTTTAAAAGGGTGACTGGTATAATGTGAAGGCAGGTCACGCTGTGTTGAAAGTTGGGATGGGGGGGTGTCATTTTCAGCTGAGTTATACACTTGGAATTACCACAGTTGGTAAAGTGAGACCTAAACGATTTAACCAATGTTTTAACCAAACAAAACAAGGATGTACACAGGTAGACACAGAGTGTATCTCCCAAAATGGCGCCCCTGACCCAACATTCCCCACGGTGTGACGTACCTTCACATTCTCTATACAAAGTGTATTAACTGGAAGTTGTATGTGAAAACAACTTTAACTTGGTACAAGTCAGTTAGTTTCTTTTAAGATCATAACTTTTTTTTAACAGTGTCGACAGTTTTCTGTGATTTTGTTGTTGTTATTCAGAGGTTTACTAATTTTCCTGGGGCTGGTGAGTTGTGAGCTTCGTTACTGTTTACCTTCTTCTAGAGCTACAGAAAACTAGCTAACACCTTCAACAACAGTCACTCTGTAGGTCGCAGTGGTCCGACAAGTCTTTCCACTGAACCTGGAGCCTTTTGGGGAATATTTATCTTGAATTGTTTCTGTCAGAAAGTGTGTGCTTACCTTGGTTGGACCTGCCGACACATACATTGTAGGTGTTGCCTTCAGCGTCCGCCCCAGTCTTTAAGTCCATGGTGTACAAACCTTCAGTGCTCAGGTTGTCTCGGATCAACCTGCACTTTCTGTTGGCAATCGTAGGGCCACACTGGCCGAAGTCCTTCCTGTCCCCAGCCAGCCTCTTAATTTCAGCCTCCTGTGGGAGAGACGGGCAGGTAGAGGGTTATTATCACATCTGGCCTGATGCATAAACCAGCTGAAGACCATGAGCTACCCACCACTACAGCTTCTTTCTGTGACTGCTACAGACTCTTTCACAAAAGGTGATCAGTTGTATTCTATACCGATTATTTGATTTAATGAATGATAAAATATGGTGTTGGTGACCATTTTCTTTCAACCACACAGGTCATTCCACCAACTTTGCACAAAAGTAGTGGACAACATCAGTTTTAAGTCCCGAGACAGAAGAACATTAATGCTTAATCAGCCAATGAGAAGGAATTATTGAACACTGACTTTCACATGTGCTAAAGCCTCCATGTTTCCCCAAAACACAGCCAGCTGTCTATTTGCTGGAAAGCGGCCACAGCTCCTCACTTAATGTGAAACCAGCAGAGGAAATGTTGAGTTTGCATTCATTAACAGTAACTACAGCTCAACACAGGTCCTGTAACTAAAAGCCCTCACTCTGATAAGGGTCCGTGTCCAGTTCAACTTGAGCTCAGGTCCAGTTTCCACAGATAAAAACCTTGTTTGTGATTGTACTGCACATGTCAGGGTGAACATGTGGGCTGCATGTGTCGGGAGGTGGCTGCTCAGTTTCAGGCTGTGCTTTCTGCATGTTTCCACCAATTATATTAAACTGGTTTGACTGGTTTGACTCAGTGTTGTTTCACTGCTGACTCACTGTGGTGTCCTGTACAACATGTGGCGTCAGAGCTGTAGACAGACAAATAATTAGCAGCTCCTTTGACAAGTCATTTCAGTCCTTCAAGCTGAAATCTCAGCCACTCTCTGGCTACAGCTTGTAAAATGTGAGGATCCTCTGCTTTTACTGGACACGGTGCATCTTTGGGGTCAGGTTATTATCTGACTCCCTTTGTTAGATGATGTACACATGGATTTAGTATCAGATCAGAATCAGAATCTGCTTTATTGGCCAGGTGTGTCGGACACAGCTGCTTGTGAACAGATCCTGATGTGATGCTGATTGTTTGCATGAGAAATGTTGAGGGAGCTGAAGTGTCAGCTCAAGCTGAAGCACTGAAAGGACGTGAGGCGTAATTATAACTTCTGCTTCAATTTTAAACCCTGAAGGCATGAGTACGTAAACACTGAAGAGGAAGAGGAAGGCAGTTGAAGTCACTGAGTCATGAATGGAGCTGAAATGACAAACTTTCAGCCAAATCACCAAAGGATGTTGACATGTGTGCACTGTAGGTAGCTTCACCAGCACCAACAGCGAATGAAGCATCAGTGACTGGCTGTGGAGAGCTAACCATCATCCAGAGGAAGAGACAAAAAAACGATGAAAGGAGGAGCACAGAAGAGCAGGAAGTGTGCACGTAGATCATTAGCAGTTAGTCTGTGAGCAGTGGCAGCGTGTGAAAAGTGAAAATCAGTTGAAGTGTTGATGTGCAAAGCAGGTGAACGGTCGGTTCGGTCCAAACTGAACTATAAGTAAAAGTCCTGCATTTAAAATCTTAAGTAAACGCAGGCGAGTGTAATCAGAAGCGTAGGTGAAGTATGAACACACTTCCTGTGGCTGCTGTAGTTTTACACATTATGTGATTAGACAATTACTGGAGATGCATTAACGTGTGAACATGTTTCACTGAGGCCGAGCACATTTAACTCTCTGCATGTGATGATTAATTTATTAAGGAATCATTTGCTGATTGTTTTCTTGACTTGATTTGTAAGAAATCAGGAAGTAGTGAGTCCGAACCTCAGAATGACGTCCAATAACTTAAAACGATTAAAAGGAAAAGCAGCAAATCCTCATGTTTGAGAAGCTGGAACACTGGAAGGTTTGGTATTTTTACATACACACAATTGATTTTCTATCAATCAGGCTGATTGACTCAGTCATTTCAGCTCTACTTGTATTTACTGTTGGTAGTTTAAGTCATAATAAAGTATGCTTTATGCATACATCTTAATTGGTAAAATAAGCTGTAAGATAAATGTAGTGGAGTAGAAAAGATAATCAGTCTGTATGAAAAGTCCTGGAGCAGAAGTATAAAGTAGCAGGAAAAGAAAATACTCAAAGTATTAGTACCTGAAGTACTTGAGTAAACATGTTACAGTCCCCTTGTTTCAGGTCATGTCTGTCACCGTCCTGATGTGACATCAGACAGTTCAGCTGTGTACACGTACACGTTACATGGAGGTGGCTCATTGACTTTGACTGACAGTATCGTCAATACCACCGATCGATCAGCAGGCCACACTTTCAAACAGCAGCTGAACTGAGCTGCAGAAGACACGAGAGACAAGCCAAGAAGAATGTGTGGAGGACAAGACGAGACACGAACACACTGCTGCCTGCAGAGACAAAGCCACTTCCTGAAACCAGCCAGCCAATCAGAGAGAAGATCTTTAGGTAGCCTGTTCACCATGAGTGTGACTTAACACACACGCCCTCACACACATTATGTGTGTGTGTGTGTGGCCAAATGGCTGAAGGTTAAAAACCCTGTGGCTACAAACAAACAAACTGCAGGTGTGTGTGTCTCCCTCACAAACACGTTGCACTGTGTCAGTGCAGCAGCATCTCTGAGCCTCTCGCCCTCACCACAGCCTGAGAGAGAAATGAGAAGTGATCGCCTCTACTTCCTGAATTTGCCGCTCTTTTTGACATCATGTCCTTATAAGGCAGTTAGAGCGTTGCTCGGGCTGCAGCCCGGAAACCACAGAAACACCCGGAAACTGAGTGCAACTGCTGCTTCTCAACAAACTCTCACAGGGAAAGTGTATTGATTCCAGGTCTGAGCTGGAAACACGACAAAAAACCACGTTAACTTGTGTTTTTGTTCCGTCAGCTAAGAAACACTGCAGCTCCCCCGGCCGGGGTCTGGGACTGAAGGCCTGTTTTGACCCAAGTCCCCAAAAGGAATAAACCACTGTAAAGTAGAAAACTGAGTCATACAAACATGAGGATGAACGTTTTCAGGCCCCTGTCACTTTTAAAATGCTCCCAGTGGAAACACAATCCACCCCAGCGAGGTAACGAGTAGCAGAAGGACTAGAGCTCACGCTGAGGGCCTCTCCCACCAAGTCACCGCCTCGCTGGTCTGAGACCTGTCTACAAATGTGAAACAAGACAAATTTCACATAGCTGTCGTGTTTTAACAAAACATTGTTCTTTTTGCAGAGCAGCAGCTCGATGCAGAGCCGCACCGCCTGCAGCTCCACCCGCCTGCACCGACAGAGCAGGAACCAGCTGAGCGACAAAGTGAACACGCCCAAAACTCAACAAGACAAAAAAATGACAATAAGAATAAATCCTTTTAAACCTGCTGTAAAACCAAACAAATGTTTTGTTCCAGTCTGTGAAAACGGGCCAGTGGGGTGACGGCCGTGGGAGTGAGGTCAGCTGCTGCTGTCATGTGGATTTTCAGCATCACTGCTTGTTTTTGATCTTAAATGATTTGTTTTAAAGCCAAGAGTCTGCACAACAACGTAAACTAAATAAATGGTTTATAATAAGGATCAAAACCTAATTCCTTCACCTGATTTTAAAACAAACTTTTCTAAAGGAGGAAGTGGAAACATCTCGCCAGAGTTTTTGTGGATAAAACACTGACAGTGACACACAACGTTGCTGCAATGCTGACAAATACACATTGCACAACAAACACATGAAGGTTCACAGTGGTTCTTTGGTTTTTGGTTCAAACTGTCTGAAGAGCAAAAAGCAAAGTTTTGGGGAGTTTGTCTGTGTGTTAGTGTGTGTGTTCATGTGTGTGTTCTTACCAAGATGCAGGCGAAGCCTTCTGAGGAGGCCCACACAGCCTCTTGCCCCGGCAAGCACCCACAGATGGCCGCCTGAGCCACCACGCGGTTCCCACTCTGGTCAGGCGCCATCAAGTTGTCAACGTATGGCTTCCACGACATCCTGATCAATCACCAGTATGCACGCACACACACACACACACAGATGAGTAACACATACACACTTGCTGTCACACCGACTCTGACCAACAACCACCACACAACATGTGTCTGAGTCAGCAGCAAACAGTCAAAGGCCTGAACAGAAACCAGATCAATGACCCAATCACCAGCCAATAACTCAGCGAGGCCACGTCAGCTTACCTGTGCAGGTAGAGTCTTGGGTACGAGGAAGAGGAGAGAGAGACAAGTCGAATGCAGAAAGAAGGAAGACAAGTCAGCTTTTATACATGTGACCACTCCCAGGCTGCAGGCTGCTTCCTGCCTCGTTCACTGGCACCCAGTGTCTCTCTCCCTCTCTCTCTCTCTCTCTCTCTCTCTCACTGTCTACCTTGCTCACTTGCCCTCTCTCTCTCTCTCTCTCACTGTCTACCTCGCTCACTTACCCTCGCTCCCTCTCTCTTTCTCCCTCTCTCTCTCTGTCTACCTCGCTCACTTGCCCTCTCTCCCTCTCTCTCTCTCCTGGGAAGTAAAAACAAGGAAGTGTAAGCAGTGACCTGATGAAAATGATATAGAACAACTAAAGTCAACACATATCACACACACACACACACACACACACACACACACACACACACACACACACCCTCCCCCGCGCCCTGTGTCTGTCTCTACGCT